GGATGTCGGGCAGGCTCCATGAGCTGCTCTTTCCTCTGTGTTGACCTCTTGGGGAGCAAAAGTAATGTGAATGATGTGCCTGAATGACTGTTACTTCCACCCTGTGAGCTAGGGGGTGACATAGACCTAGCAACATTCTAAACACTGTCCAGCTCATTCCCGTGAAGCAGGGTGCAAAGCTGCTCCATTCCCAGAGTTTTGAGAGACCCATGCATCCAAGACTGGTTGATGTTACCAAATTAGGCTAAGAGGCATGGTGTTCTTTGTGGTTTGGGCTGTGTGGAGCATGTTCCACAGAACAATGGGTCTAGTTAGTATATAACTTATGCAACCTGTCAGTCATCCTCCTGCCTCTGGACCTGGGTAGCAGTGAAGCTGGGTGTGTCCTTGCCCTGCCTGCAACCCTTGTCATTTAGGGCTTTTCTACTTGCAAGGTCTGTTTCTGAGAGTTATAGATTCCCATTTAAATCACCTGACAAAAATCATTATTTGTTTATTTTTCTGTTTCCATTTGTGTGGTGGGCATATGTGTAAATGAATGTTCCACATGTGTGTGGGTACATGTATGTGAGTGTGTGGAAACCTGAGGTTGATGCTGGGAATTCTCCACCCTTCCTCTTTATGCACTGAGGCAGTGTCTCTCAACCAAACCCAGATACTCTGGGTACGTCTAGTCTCACTGCCCAGCTTGCTCTGGGATCCCCTGTCTTCTTCTGAGGCTAGAATTCCGGGCAGGCCACTATGCCCACCCAGCATTGATGTGGATTCTGGGGACCTGGACTCTGGTCCTGACACTTTCAGGGCAAGCACTGTGGCTGTGGAGCCATTGTCCCAGCTCCATGAAGGCTGATCCAGCTGAGCCCACCAGTTTCCCAGTCTGTGAGCCATCCCAGCCCCACACCTGTCTTTAGGGGCACCTTGAGATTCTGTGTGCAGCCTGCTCCCCATATCCAGTTAGAGGGCAGCGTGATGGATGGCCAAGCATCCATGGCCACTGTGTGGAGATGTGAAGGACTGCCTCAGATGTGTTTTCTCATTCCTTTCTCTTTTTAAATAATTTTTATTGCTTGACAATTTCCTATGTGCACACAATGTGCTTTGGTTTTCTGTTCCCTCCCATCCAGTTCTTCCCTTATTCCTCCACACGTTTCCCCCTCAGCTTCACAGTGCTCTTTTATCTGTTTCTCTTCCTCTCCCTTCCCCAGCCCTCCCAACCCACTGGATCTGCTTAGTACCGGCTGTACACACATGGGTTTAGGCCATCTACCATAGCCCCCTCTCAGGGGCTGAATCCTTGAAGAAACTGCAGCCCCTTCAGTTGCCCAAGATACCTAGGTTCCACTGCTGCATTGTGCAGGGAGCACACAGACACACTGTTTGGGCAGGGGTGAAACTGACTGACTTGGTGGTTGGAAAGCAGACTTCAGGATGGAGAAAGGAATAAAATATGGCCAGGAAAGGCCCTGGGCAGCAGGAGGAAGGCAAAGGGTGAGACCTGAGACCTGACTTTGGGCAGACTTGGGAGTTATCCTTACTGTCTCTGAGTGCCAGCTTCCCCAGTATAGGAGGGATGGACAGGCTTGCCCCTCCCCCTCCCCATGTGTGCGAGTCAGCGGTGGGAGGGGTGCTGTTGCTGAGGCTCAGCCTGTTCTGTGGTCTTTTGTCATTTTTCTCTTTTCCAGCCAGCGATAGGAACTTCAGGTCACAAAGAAGCTTTGATTATCTGGCTCCCTGGCAGCTCCTTTCATCTCCGGAACATTTTGCAAGCCAAATCTAATCGATGCAGGGTGGCAGGCTCGCCAGGAGGGTCGCATCTTCCGCGGTTAGCTTCCAAAGCTTTGCTTAGGGAATGGGCTCTCACATCCCCTGGACACACGGGCCCTAGGCCCACGGCTCAGTCCTGCCGTGTCCTCCCCACGTCCCAAAGGCCTCTGGTTTGAAGATCAGGAATCTGAGGTTCACTTGCTTGGGATGGGGAAGGAGTGCTGGGGAGCTCCAATCCCCAGGTGCCCAAGCTTAGTCCCTTCTCATTTCTGCTGTTCCTAGCCCGACCAAGCCAGCTTCTGGCTCACGGTGCAGATTCAGTAAATACTGACTTGGGGGAGGCCGAGCTCCTACCTTGGTTTCCAAATGGCTTTAGATATTATCGTTCTGTGCGAGGCTTTTAGCCATGGGTGAGAAGGGAGCTAGAGCAAACAAAAATTTCGATTTCTTCTTTCTCAGTTGGGAAAATGTGTTCCAGACAGCAGGGCTGAGTGCCATGGGGAAAGCAGAGGAGGAACTTAGGGGAATGGGGGAGGCGGATGGTCGGACACCACGACTTTGGGCAGTGGGGCTGGCAGGGAGGGGGACCTAGACAACCAGGACTCACATTATTGACTTGTCCCCACAGATAAAGGAGCTAAGTGAAGGACGCTGGAGTGCTGGGGTAGCAGGGGAGCCGAGGCGCCAGGAATGGACTTCTCGCTCACTTAGGAGAGACAGCATGTTGGAAGGCACACAAAGTCCTGGGCTTTGGAGTCTGGGATTCCTTCCTAAAAGTACAAGCCATGAGGCCTGGGCAAGTTACTAATGTCTCAGAGCCTCTGTTTCCTCATCCGTAAAGTAGACAAACAGCACCCACCTGTGTGTGTGTGTGTGTGTGTGTGTGTGTGTGTGTGTGTGTGTGTGTGTGTGGTGGGGGGCTCTCTTTAGAAACAAAACAAAGTAGCAGAATGTAGCCGAATGTACAATCTGTCCCAGCGCTCCGATCCTTCAGGCCCTAAACCAACACCGCAGTTAAAGCCCAGCGCCATCTTTGCTGCTCCAGGGGCAGGGTGGAAAAGCGAGCCCAGCCTCCCATCGCCTGGGGTCTGGGGCTAAGCGAATTCTAGTCACACATGAATCTCTCTACTCCCTATTGGGTGTCACCCCAACTCTTAGCAGGCGACCAAATCATAGAGCACAGATCATGTATTAACTTGGAGCCCACTCCAAAGAGTTTTCTTTGTCTAGCTGTTGGCTGGTGCCATTAAAGACCTTTTATCTGGATTCATCTCTGCATCTCTCTTAAACCTGCTATTCAGCCCAATCCCCCATCCCCACACAGCCCAGCACCTACATTTTGCTGTGGAAACCTAGGATCGAAACAGGGACCTTTAGATACCAAACAGTATTTGCTCAGTGTATTTTCCTTTCTTTCCCTGGTATTCTCAAGCAGAAGCCCCAGAAGAATTCACATTGCACAGAGTTAAAAAGGCAGAGTACCCGAGCCATCCCAAGTTTACGAATGAACATGTCAAGGTCACTTTGGAGCTTGGCCAGGCTTTTTCATTTCTAGTTGCTATGACGCACACATGCTTATGTTACTCACCTTTCCATTGAGTGAGAAAATACTAGAAAAAATAACGTAAGAGGAGAAAAGGTTTCTTTTGGCTCTTGGCTTTAGAGGTTCCATTTCAGGCCATTGCTTTCGGGTGCTCAGCTCTCTTTCTCCTGCATATTCATCCCAGTACCCAATCCCAGGAACGGTACTGCTCACGCTTAGTGTGAGACTTCTCCCTTTCATGAACCTAATTGGGACAATCCCTCCCAGGCATGCCTGGAAGCATATCTCCTAGATGATTCTAGATCCTGACAAGTTGTCAATCATATTAACCATTACAGTGGTATAACCACTACAGAATCCTACTATTTGGGAGACTGAGGCAGGAGTACCACAGGTTCAAGGTCAGCCTGGGCTACAAATCCAGAGTCTCTTTCAAAACTCCCGATAAACAGCCAGATAGGCAGCCACCAATGACTAGTGGCTATCATGCACAGAGCAACCATATAAGATCCATAAAGTCTGCTCCTAGACATCTTTATGGTTTCCTCCTCAAATCCAGAGCCTAGTTATTTATGCAATATTTTTGTTTAAATCATACCTTGTTAAAGGGACTTTAGAAACAACTCTATTTGCTTCTACTATATGAAAAAAAAATCATCCTTTCTTCCCATGGAGGGATCTGTGAAAATGAGTGTCACTGGATTACAGCCTGGACCATTTTGTTTTGAGTCAGAACCCAGGCACACTCTCACTGTGAAGGGAGAAACTCTGGTGTTACACACTGAATGGGATTTAGAGTCACCATGGAAACATGTTTCTGGGAGGGTCTGGGAGGACATTTCCAGGAAGAACTGACTGAGGTGGGGAGACACACCCTGAATGTGGGCAGCGCTAGCCCATGGGATGAGTCCTGTTTTGAGAAAGCGAGCTTGGGTTATTATATATCCCTGGTATCTACTGTTTCCTGGTACCAGGAACTGGGTCAACCACCTTCATGCACAGTCTCATTGAAGCCACATGCCTTGGTCCACAGGCGCTATTGCTATGAATTCATTCCACAGGATTCCCATGGGGATTGAATAATGCGCTACAATGAGAGCAGTGCTTGGCACGTATGATATGTCATGTATATAATAATTAGTATTGCTTATAAAGGACCATGTGCCAGGTTATATGTTGGTCCCTGGGTAGGGGACAGGGGACCCTGAACAACAGATACAAACACCTCTCCTGCACTCATTTGTGAACAGTTTCCCAAAGTGGGGCTAAACTCAACGGTCAACTTTACTGGACTAAAAACTACCTAGCATATTTGTGCATGCCTCTGGTGGTGTCCATGAGTCTTCCTGAGAAGATTAGAACACAAGGGCTCTGGATGTGGGGCTGATCTGGCTGTGACATCTGTCACTCCATTGATTACCAGAGTTGATCTGCTGACCTGGCTGGCTAGGCAGGTGTCCCCTTCCTCCCTCACCATCCTGTATGCTCTGTCGGAGGTTGGCCTTCCTTGACAGAAGAGGACTAGTCTTTGTCATGGGCAGATGAGGAGCTTCAGTCCCTTGCTGGAAGCCCCAAATTAGTCTCCAAAGTCCATTTGTAGGACAGAGGGAAGTTAGGCCTCCAAGACTCCAGGCACACCAGATGAGGCGCTGCATGTGACTGTCTGGTCTTCTTTAGAAAGAAAGAAAGAGAGGGTAATCCTGCCCGGGGTCTTAGTCTCGGGTTTGCTCCGCCGACACTTGAAGCCCGGACTCGAAGCGGTCTCCTGGTCGAGCTTCGCCTTCGCCATGGCCCTCAGCGATGCAGACGTGCAGAAGCAGATTAAGCACATGATGGCTTTCATCGAACAAGAAGCCAATGAGAAAGCAGAAGAAATAGATGCAAAGGCAGAAGAAGAATTCAACATTGAGAAAGGTCGTCTTGTGCAAACCCAAAGACTGAAGATTATGGAATACTATGAGAAGAAAGAAAAGCAGATTGAACAGCAGAAGAAAATTCAAATGTCCAATCTGATGAATCAAGCCAGACTCAAAGTCCTCAGAGCAAGAGATGACCTCATCACTGATCTGCTAACTGAGGCAAAGCAAAGACTCAGCAAGGTGGTAAAAGACACAACCAGATACCAGGTGCTGCTGGATGGGCTGGTCCTCCAGGGCTTGTACCAGCTGTTGGAGCCTCGGATGATTGTGCGCTGCAGGAAACAGGATTTCCCTTTGGTGAAGGCCGCAGTACAAAAAGCAATTCCTATGTATAAAATTGCCACCAAAAAAGATGTTGATGTCCAAATTGACCAGGAGGCCTACCTGCCTGAGGAAATAGCTGGTGGCGTTGAAATCTATAATGGGGATCGCAAGATTAAGGTTTCCAACACTCTGGAAAGCCGGCTGGACCTCATAGCCCAACAGATGATGCCGGAGGTCCGGGGAGCCTTGTTTGGGGCAAATGCCAATAGGAAGTTTCTGGACTGAGCCTGGGGAGGTGCGCTTCATCGAGGCTGTGCTGGAGAAGCAGATATCTGCGTGGCTTCCTCTTTCTGTTCTAATCCTGGTAATCAGTGGATACCCTCTGCAGCTCATGCCCAGTGTCAACAGAAGGGCCAGGCCACTTGGTGTGGACAGGAGCCTAGCCCCAGCTCATCTGATGGCACAGCTGTGCACTGGTTCTGAGCAGGGCGGGAGGGGTCAGATGATGCTGCGTGGCCTCCCCAAGGACCCATTCCTTCTCTGCTCCTAGTCATCTAGAGTGAGTTGTGCATGCTGTCCCCTGCTCTTCGGGTGCAAAGTGCATGCGGGGCTCGCATTCCTCCAACAACACCAGCTTCACTGTTACTATTTGGGTCTGGTTTTCCTTATCTGTAAACGTGATTTAAAATCTAAGCCACAAATACTCCTTATTTATTAAAACAAAAGGTTTATGTGGAAAAAAAAAAAAAAAAGAAAGAAAGAAAGAAAGAAAGGAAGGAAGGAAGGAAGGAAGGAAGGAAGGAAGATAGGAAGAAAGAAAGAAAGGACTCTGACCTGATCAATGGGTTAATCTCTTGCTGTCTTTGTAATAGGATGGCATTATTTGGAGGGAGAGAGAGGTAGGTGGGGCCTGGTCAGAGGAAGTAGATTTCCAGGGGTATGTCCTTGGGGCCCATTTCCTGCTCAGATTCTCCTTATAGTTTCTCTCTGTTTCTTGTCTGCTATGATGTAAACTGCGCCATGCCGCCCTCCTCACCACAGTGAACCGACAGGTCTGAATGGTGAGCCAGGACAAACCTTGCCTCTCTTTTCTACTTGTCTGTGTCAGGTACTCTGTGATAAAAACAACTCAGGTAACAGTCAAGAGATGTTGGGAACCATGCTTTCTGTCAGCGGTGACCGATTAGACCCAGTGCTCACCTGTGGAAGAGGGCTGGCTGTGGGCGTTGGAAGCGCAGAATCCCCTTACGGAATTTCACCTCAGTAACACTCAGTCTGTGGGTTGGAGCTACAGTAAAACTCCCAGGGCTGCAGTGGGCTGGTTTGTACTGGTTCCAAGATTCAGTCTCCTTGTCTTTAAGACCGGAAAGGGGCTGGAGAGATGGCAGTGAGTAGAAGTGCTTGCCATACAAGCATGAGGATCTGAGTTCAAGGCTCAGGGCCCAGGTAGAAATCTAGGTGTGGGCCAGCAAGATGGCTTAGTGGGTAAAGGTGCTTGCTGCCAAGCTGAAATGACCCGAGTTTGATCCCAGGGATCCACACTGGGGAAGGAGAGAACTGACACTACACGTTCTTGTCTGACATCAACACGCATGTGGCATGCATGCATATGCACACACACTCAAATAAACAAATAAGTGAATGAAATTATTAGTTAAATTAAGTAAAGGGAAAATTAAAGATTTATTTTTATTGTATGTGCACAAGTGTTTTGCCTGTACATCATACGCATGTGTCTGCCTGTTGAGACCAGAAAAGCCCATCAGATGCCCTGGACCTGGAGTTAAAGTTAATTGTGAGCCTCATGAATTCTGGGAATCAAACTGGGGTCCTCTGCAGAGCAGCAAGTGCTTTAAGCACTGGGCCATCTCTCCAGCTCCCCAACAAATTATTTTCTTTTTTTTTTTTTTTTTAAGCCAGGCATGGTGTTACCTACCCCAGTGCTGGGATGGCAGGGACAGGAAGATCCTTGGGGCCTGCTTGCTACCCTCCAACTTAATTGGTGAGTTCTAGGTCAGTGAGAGACCTATCACCAAAAAGCCCCCAGGTCAACAGCGTCCTGAGGAATGATGCCTGAGGTTGTCCCCCGGCCTTCATACGCAGGCAAACGCATGATGCACCCCACCCCACAGAGGGCGTGGCCACTGCAGTCTTCACAGGGTTAATAGAGTCAGCATGGCTGAAGAACGGGGCAGGGCCTAGCAGGAAGTGCTCATTACTGAGCACTTTGTCATTTTAATAATCCTTACACTCTGCAGGGGGCTGGGGAAGAGGATGGCATCCTTGGCCACAACAGCAGCCTCCAATTCTCAAGCCCCAGTGCCTGAAGACATTAGAAGACATGCCCTTGACAGGTTAACGGCATTCACCTGGTTGCGGGACACTAGCTTTTATTTCCCTTTTCTCCCAAGCTAAATGAGTGGCATACCATTTTTATGATGCACCTTTCTGCTCATCCGCAGCCCAGTGACCCAGGAGTCTCACTGCTAGTCCTCTAGGGGTTTCTTGCAGACTGTGAGTCTCGACAGAGGATGGATGAGGCAGGCTCATCTGGTCTGTGTCTAGACACTTTATTACTCTAGCTTGCTGTAGAAATTCTGAGAAAGTGCTTCTCCACAAAACTTCAGGCTCTGGGTGATGGACATGGGTCAAGGGGGCTTACCAGTGTAACCACTGAGGCCCTCCGATAGGAGATGTGGATAATGGGAAAGGCTGCATGATGGCTCAGGGACGTATAGGAAACTGTACTGTCCCCTCTGTTTTGCTGTGACCCTAAAGGGCTGTAAAGATAGTCTAACAAAAACCAAAACAACAGCAATTCCAGGGTCTTGGAGAAGCCCGGAGGTGGGTTGAGCAGAGGCTAGCTCATTGGCACCAGCGATCAGCCGTGGTGTCCAGTGGGGAGACCAGGGCTCACAGGGGCCTCAGACGTTCACACGACTGAGCTGGAGATAAGTGGCCTAGTTCTTGGAGTCTTGATGGCCTGTGGCCGCATGTGGCCTGGGGTGCTCTGAGGACACCGACTGGCTGCTTAAGCTTCTTCTCTGGCCTTGCATTCACAGATATACCTCTGGAGGGCAGCGGTACAAAGAGAAGCCTGACACCCTGCAGCCCAGCCCCAGCATGCCTGATCTGTCACGCACAATTTATTTTTCCCTAAAGCCTTCTCTCAATGACCTGCCTTTTGATTCCCCTGGCCTTGTGTTAGCACAGTGTTAGGATTTTAGTAGAGGGACAGAACCCACAGAATGAATGTATTTTCCTAAGGGTGTTTATTTGATTGACTTGAACAATATTAACTGAGTAGTCCAACAATACCATCTGCACATTGGAGAGGCCAAGAACCCAGTAATTGCTCAGTCTATGAGGCTGTATGCCTCAGCAGTGCTAGTCTGGTACTGAAGGCCTGGGAAATTCCTGGAGATCAGCAGAAGTAGATGAACTTGACAGCATGATTTGAAGGCAGACAGGCAAAAAGCTGAATGTTTTCTCTTTGGTCTCCTTATATATGGGTTGGTAGTGGAAGGTCCCACTCACATTCGGGTGGCTCTTCCCATTCTAACCATACTAACTAAGAAAATCCCTCCCAAGTGTGTCCAGAGGTATGCCTTTCAGTTGACTCCTGCTCCAATCACGCTGACAACAAAGGACAGATGAACACCGTTAGAATCCCTGCTCTGCTTTTGACTTTGGATCTGACTGTGCAGCCCAAGTTCCCTTGAACTTTCAGTGTTTTTGCCCTGCCTCCCAAGTAGTTGTGATTGACGGGTCCATGCTGCTATGCCTGGGAAGTCTTTGTTGTTTTAGTGACTTTGCCTCAGTCACTCATTTCACTGGAGGCCACCTAGCTTTACAGAGTAAGGCTGTTTATTGAGCTAGCCGGTATGGAGCTAGCCAGTATGGAACCCGCAGGAGATGGGTTCTGGAGAGGGCCCTTGGCTGCACTGTGTCATGGTGGGTGGTGATGGCAGGAACACATGGGGAGAAAGCAGCCCCATTTCCAACAGGAATCTAGAGTGGGGCGCATTCTTGGGCTTGCTCCTGGTATGAAAACCCTTCTCAGAATGCCAGGTTTGTGATTGGATGCTGAAACACTTGCCTAGCTTTTGTGAGGTCCTGGGTTCTATTCACATCACCACAAAAACAAACCATCAGAGGTATTCAGTTCCTTGAAGGGCACACCCTTGGGGACTTGAGTCTTCCAACCTCTTCAAAGTCCACCATTTGAACATTCACATTGGATCAAACTTCCAACACAGGAACCCATCAAGACACATCATATCCAAAACCTTAGTACTGTCCAGAGTGTCCTTCATCTCTGACACGTGAGTCACTGTAAGTCCATATACAGTTAGGGTTCATGGAGGACAGAACCATGACACATAAAATATTTCCATAGCTCAACCTCTAAAAATTGTGAGAGTATTATCTGATAAGGTAAAGAGGACTTTGGAAGGAAAGCTAAATGAAGGCTTTTGAGATGGAGAGATTTATTGGATGCTATAGGGGGCTGAATGGGGTCCTAGGAACATTAGAGTGAGGTGAGTGAGTCAGAGTGATGTAAGGATGGACCAGATGTCAGAGAGGAAATTTCAGAGTGAGGATGAACTGCAGTTCAAAAGGAGATGCTGGATAAGGCTGGACCAGAGGTCAGAGAGGATATAATGCTTGGATATAGAGTGAGCCAGAGGTCAGAAAGGAGATGCTGAAGAGGGTGAGCTGTAGGTCAGAGAGGAGGAGTTGCTGGGTTAACTTTCTCTGCCCTTCCTCCCAACTTCTTATAGCTCTCCCATAGAAAGAAGGGCCAAATTCATTTCTTGTCATCTGTCCTTGCAGAGCCTGGCTGGGGAAGGCATGCGGTGTCCCTGGGGGCTGGCTGCATCAAGGCAACAGGATCCGGCTGGGTTCTGATTCCAGTCCTCCACCTGCCATCCCTGCGGCGTGCAGAATCTTGATCAGTGAATTTCTGGCATGGGCTCCTTTGGCCCAGCTTAAGAGGGCCTTAGGGAGCTGGCGGGAGGCAGTGCTGGGTACTGATGTGGCACTTCTGGCATTAGCTGTATGTAGAGACATAGGACTCCTCTAGAATTGTAAATACTTTCAGGAGGAGATGGTGCCCACTGGCTGCTGTCCAAGGTTCTGGAGTAGGAGCCAATGTCAGACCTACTCGCTCATTTTAATACCTGGGCACCTGTGATGGCTTTGAACTCTGAACCAGCCCTGGGGTTGAATGTCAGCTCATATTTCAGTAGCTGTGTGAACTTGTTAGGTCACACTCCAAGCTCATAACTGGATAATCATTGACCATCTGCTCCCATGGGCCACGGAACTCAGTCAGCTCTTTGCTATTCTTTCTAGATCATGGTCTTGCAGCCTTGAGATCAGGAGCACCTTCATACTGACAGAGGAACTGAGGCTCCATGAGGCTCCTGACTTGCTGGAAATCCAAGGCCAAGGAAGACAGCAGGTCCCAGGGACAGGCAGCCAGCCTCCTGAGGCCAATGGTGAGTGCCGATGCTGCAGACCTAACAACGGCCACAGCTGCTTCCCAGACTGCTGTGCTGACTCAGCCAGTGCTGCAGTGGGTATCTGGGATACAGCAGGCATCTTCTTTTGGGCCCTCCTCCCAGCCTCTCTCCTTCTGTCTTCTCTTCTCACTCGCCTCCCCCTCCATCTCCCCTATCATTTGTTCTTTCTTTCAGTAGGGTCTCCTGTAGTTCAGATTGTCCTCCAATTCTATGGCTGTGGATGACCTGGAGCTCCTGATCCTCCTGCCTCCACATCCTGAGTGCTGGGGTCACAGGTGTGTCTCACCTGTGATTTTGGGGATGGAAGCCAGGCTTTTTACCTGCTAAGCAAGAACTCCGGCCATGGAGCCGGCATCTGCCACCGGCATTTTCACTGTACGGCGGGTGTGCGGCAGTCATCTCCATCTTTGTCACTTCAACTACTGTTGTCCCCAATCTTCAGCGTTATGGTTATTCCTGAGCACCCCCCCTTCCTCCACCTCATTCAGGCCCAGGTAAGGCAGACACTGGCTCCGGAGTGTGCATGTATTCAAATGACTCAACGACTTGTCTGTCATCTTTCTGACCATAATCTATTTAAATAGCACTTGTGTCACTCCCAGATCACCTTCAAGTCCATGTACCATCATTCTTCACCTTCTCTGTCCCCAGGCAGCTGTTAATTAGCCGGCCTTTTCTGGGTCATTTTACACGATTCCCTTATTTTAATTTTATGTGCATGGGTGATTTGCCTGCATGTGTGTCCATGCACCATGTGCATGCCTGGTACCTGAGGAGGTCAGAAGAAGGCATCAGACACTCCTGAACTGGAGTTACAGATAGTTGTGAGCCATGGTGTGGGTGCTGGGCACTAATTCTGGGCCCTCTGCAAGAGCAGCAAGTGCTGTTAATCACTGAGTCATCTCCCTGGGCCTGCGACGTCTTTTGACATTGTCTTCCTGCACTTGGAATGACGGTGTTTCAATTCACCCGTGCTGTGCCATGCACATGTCAGCATTTTGTTTGCTTTCCTAGTTGTAGAATGTTCCATTGCTCAGGCAGACCAGTTTCTTTACATCGCTCAGGTAAAGGGCTTAGAGTTGCTTATACTTTACAATCCCAAACATCGTATCCCTTTACAGAAGAAGCATGGTGGTCAGAGGGGAACAGTTTTCTAGTGTCATTCAGCTAACATGTGACGGGGGTGACATCTGAAGTGAGGGTTTCTCCAGTGAGAACCTCAAACGTGCCGGTGAGAGCATGCTACTCTGTGTTAACTGATCAGCTCTTACATATTAGTCTGACGTGATGCTACTGGAATACAAAGGCATGGAGCCAGCTCAACATTCCAGGTGTGCCTCTAGGTTTAGACTGACTCTTGTCTGCATCCTGCCTCCTTTACTTGAGCGCTGTGTGATGTCCACCCACTTGTCAAACTCTCTGAGCCCTAGTGTTCTCACCTGTAATGGACTTGTATTAGTGGACTTTTTTTTCATAAGATTGATGTAACGATTCATAAGGGAGATTCCCTGGAGGTGCCTGCCACATTGTAATGTTCCAGCACATTGGCTAGCTATTGTGGAGCAGGGCGGGGGTGGTGGTGGGGGAGGCAATGCTCAATAGATAAGCTACGTGATGCGCAAATAAAAGCACCAGAGTTCAGATTCCCCAGAACCCAGGGAAAGCTGGATATACGAACACCATCTGTAATTCCAATGTTACCATGGAGAGATGGGGGGCAGAGATGAGAACCTCAGAAACTCCAGGGCCGGTGAGTGCATCTGGCCTATGCTGTGATGAATAGCAAGAGGCCCTGTCTCAAACAAGGTGCAAGGTGTATTGATGTTTGAGGTCACATGTGCTGAGACATATGTACACCTATATTAACCCTGTACTCATGAACACACACACACACACACACACACACACACACACACACACACACACACACACACATGCTGCTGGCGTGAATTTCTAGAAGAGGACTTTTTTAAAGCTCTTCTTACAGATGAGTAAACAAAGGCTCAAAGAGGCAACTGGTTCTGGCTCTACTCTGAGCTCCTCCCATCTGTCTGTGTCACCTGCCAGCATCTTTTCTCTGGACCATTCAATTTGGGAAAGCCTCTGGAATGGAGAGAAAGTAGCTCCAGCCTTGTTTGCTGGCATTACAACAGGCATGTGATGGGAAAATGGGATGTAGGTCCACGATCCCTTTTTATTCCAAGGTGATTACATCATACAGTTCATGGACAGTGTCTTCTCTGGAGTCTCTAATGGACAGGGAAGGCTCAAGCTGAAACAGCTATGTGTGGGTTCAGGACTTCAGAGTCCAGCTGGCCAGCAGCACATCATGACCTCAGGCACACAGAGTGTGGCAATCTTAATAACCATGTAGACATCCTGGCTATAACTCTTAGAAGCCTCAGTTAGCTTCTGATGGGTTTACCACATAAAGTAGGCACTATGCTTGCAGTAAGAGGCCTTTCTCTGGGGGTGTGTGTGCAGAGTTCATTTATTCATTTCCTAAGTCAACAAATCTTTATCAAACATCTACAGTGTGTTGTGGACAAGCCTAAAAGCCAATGTTATGAGCTGGATAAGATCAATGTCATCCCTGTCTGATCAATTCACGGTGCATTCAGCTGTAAGTACCAGACACCCTAAGATAAGGGGCTTTTTTAATGCTCTAATGGAGTTTTGGGGTGGGCATTTCAAGGGTGGGGTAGCTCTTCAATGGTGTTTTCTGTTTTGCCAATCGAATGATGGTTTGTTCTAATGGTTGCAAAATGGCCACCATACTTCCTGAAATTACATTAATATTCTAACTAGACAAAAGCCCCCTCTTCTGATTGATTGATTAATTGATTATGTTTTTTGAGGCAGGGTCTCATTCACACCAGGCAGGCCTCCCTCAAGCTCTCTGTAGCTGATGATGACCTTGAACTCTTGATCCAACCAACTAGTTAGCCAAACAACTAAAAAGCGAACCCTTCCCTGCTCCGTGTTCCACAGACCAACTCTTTCCTGGTTCTCCAGGGCAAGTTCTTTTCATCAGCTCCTCCATCTCCAGGGAAGAGCAACTGCTTCTCATCATCTGTCTTCTGGGGAAAAATACCTGTTTCCTAAGAATTAAGGGCAGAATCATTTGTTCTTGAAAAAAAAAAAAAAACCCAACAACTAAAAATTCAGGAGTCACAGGTTTTCTAATTACTGACTTTTGTCTTCTTTCCTTCCTCTTGATTTTTTATTTTTTGCAGAGTTAGTAGTTGACCTGAGGTTCCACACAAGCTAGGCTAATGTTTACTCTCCAACTTCCTCTACTTAAAACAAACATTGAGACAGGCTCTTGCTAAGTTGCCCACGCTGGCCTTGAACTTATGATCTTGGCTCAGCCTCCAGCACAGTTGGGATGACAGGCCTGCACCACCAGATTGATCTTAGTTACTTTTCTTTATATTTATAGGAGCCATGTCAGAAGAAGAGGCCACCAGAATGAATAACTTCCCTGGCATGTGCCTATCTGGTCTATCCTGTCCCCTAAATGCCTGTAAGAGCCTTATACTTGCAAACCCAAGGCAAGGGGCCTTTGTGTTTTGTGTGTGTGCAGGTGTGTGTGTGTGTGTGTGTGTGTGTGTGTGTGTGTGTGTGTGTGTGTGTATCAGGTGTGTGTGCAGATGCAAGTATGGGTGAGTGTATGTGCACAGATGTGCATTGACTAGAGGACTTCCTTGGATGTCTTTTCTCAGGCACCATCTATCTTTTCTTTTGACAGGGTCTCTCATTGGCCTGGAGCAGGCAGATTAGGCCATGGATCCCCAGGATCCACTTGTCTGGCCTCCCCAGGACTGGGATTACAAGCACACATCTCCACTTTTTTGTTTTGTTTGTTTTTCCCTTGTCAGTTCTGGGGATTGAATTCAAGCCTTCACACTTACCAGGCAAGCACTTGACCAGCTACACTGTATCTCCATTAAAAAAAAAATTATTTAAGGCAGAGCATTATGTGGTCTCCAACTTGCTATATAGCTGAGGATAACCTTGAACTCCTAATCCTCTTGCTTCTTCCTGGGATTATGGGCACACACTACCATGCCTGGCTGTAAGAGGAACAGGGATCGGAAGCGTCTCACTTGCTGGCTTGTTGCCAGCTCCCCCGACCCCACATCATTCCACCTCTGGAATGTTTGGCTCCACCAGGTGGTAGTGGAGCCAGACATTTCAAGAACACTGCAGTCTAAGGAGTCAGTGGTTTAAAGGCCCATAGATGAGAAAGACTTTCATAAGTCCAGGAAGCTCAAAGACTGTGTGTTGTGATGCTAGAGGAATGAGCCAGGATTGGAGTTGCCCATGTGCTCTGGTCCTGCCACCCCCTCCCCACCCCCACCAAGTGAAAGGCACTCCAAGGTTGTGCTAGGAGAGAGCACTGGGCGGGAAGACCTTGTCTATCATGTCCAGGGGTTTAGTTGTCATTAGAGGTGCATGCCCGTGTTCATCTCCTTACGGACAGGCAGACTTTCCAGATGGAGGAAACTCAAAGGAACCTTCTTATTCTGGACGAGGGGGTTACAAGCTGCAGACTCATGGGAGCAGGGGAGAGTAACTAAGCCACAAGCCATGACCATTTCTGCCTCATCAGCTCCTTGGATCCAGAGAGCTACAGCTGGCCGGAGTCCCTGCAGATCAGGTCTGGCATGTGTGCTTGCTTGACTAGTGTTCTTCCCAAATCCACAGGCTCCAGAACCCCAGAACACAACCATGGCAACAACACTTTCGACTCTAATGAGTTCAGATGAGGTCACAGGGTCAGGTAACCTCATACAAAGGCTGGACACCAGGAAGAGGGCCCTGTGATTGGAGGGATGCTGCCAACCAGAACTTTACAGATAGGTAAACTGAGGCTACCAGAAAAGTGATCTACTCAAGTTCATGTGCTGGTAAGCAAGAAGAACAGCCAGGCATGAGTCCTGTTGACTCAAACATATGATCTTTGGTGATGCTCCGGGCTTCATGTTGAAAGACCAACTTCTCTGTGATGGACGTAGGATTCTCTAGCAGGAAGACCTGGCAGAAGGAATGTATATCACATGAGGGGACTTATTAAATTGTCTTACTTGGTACGGGCTGGGTAGATTAACAATCCCATCTTCTACACCAGAGAGACTCAGAATCCAGTAACAGCTCAGTCCCACAAAGCTGCATGTCTCAACAATCCCAATCTAGCAGTGAGGGGCCTGGAGATACCTTGAAGCTGGGTTCTGATGTCAGTGAATAATGGTAATGCAGCTGCAGCAGCAGCAGCAGCAGCAGCAGCCTCACCAGAGGAAGCCCAGCCAGGCAGGCAGGGCACTGTTTTTTGCTCAGATCTCTTTTCCTCTTTACATTTGCTCTCACAGCTGGGCGGGGCTACCCCACTCCTTCCCCTCAGCTAACCCTCCCCTCAGTGCCCTCACAGACCCATTCACAAGTGATTCCAGATCTAGACAAGTTGATAATCACGGTTAGCCATCACAGTGTCTGTCCTGACATCCTCCCCTTCCTATTAAAGCATCTCCCGGGTCCATTGTTAGTGGTGCACCCCACATACTGTGATGTCACCGGTAGAAAGTGCCACACAGGACCTTCACCCACAGCAGTTCATTTCCTCTTTGTGTTGTCCTTCTGGGGTTGGTGAGGAAACCAGGGCTCAGGGAATCAAGTTCTCAGTGCTCACACAGCCTGTTGGATGCTGATTTAAGACACAGACCAGCTTCTGGAATCCATGCTGGGCACTGCTCTCCAGTGCTCCATCCCTGACCAGCAGGGTGCCTGGTACCAGTATTTGGCTCCTGTGTCAGGAGTCAGCATGTTTGATCAGGGCTCTGTGGTTGACTGGCTGAGTCATGATGCTATACAGCATTTGATATGACCCACTCCAACACACACATCAGCGTTATTAAGAACATCACTGACTGTTCCTTTCAGAGTGACTGGGCACAGTTCAGCTAGATGATGTTAAAATCCTCAGGGGAAAAGGGATTTTTCAAAGCCTTCAAAATTATCTTTGCAGAGAAACCTTCAAGAATGTTTTCTACAGGTGAGGAGCGTGGACACCCACCAGGGGACATGCCCATGCTAGACATGGGGGGTCCCTAGTGGCTTGACCCGTGACTGTCCATGTTGTTGCCTCTGGTATATGTGTCTTGGTTTTCTTACTGGAGTCAACTAGGTTCATCATGTAAAATGCAGAATAACTAATTAAGTTCAAACTTCAGACAAACTACACAACACTTTTTTGTTGTTTGTTTTTTTCTGAGACAGGGTTTCTCTATGTAGTATTGGTGTCTGTCCTGGATCTTGCTCTGTAGACCAGGCTGGCCTCGAACTCACAGAGATCTGCCTGGCTTTGACTCCTGAATGCTGGGATCAAAGGTGTGTGCCACCACCGGCCGCCAACACAACATATTTTAAAAGTATATTTCAAATATATTATTTTGTGAGTAATTGGTGTGTTGAGATAGGGTTTCATATAACCCAGGCCAGCCTTGAACTCCCTTTATGTTGGAAGCTGTCCTTGAACTCCTGATCTCCTGCCTGGTGATGTCTCTAATGAGAATGATGGTAACCGTGTGGCCGAGTTTAGAAGCAAACAAAGCTGGGGGTGGGAATATGGCTTAGTGCATAGAGTGCTATTGTGTAAGGACCTATTTTGAATCCCTTTACACCCATGCAAACCGTGGGCATGGTGGAGCACACCTGTAACCCCAGGGCTGCATGGGGAGCAGAGACAGGTGGGTCTCTGGGACTCACTGGCCAGGCAGTCTAGCTTAAATGGTGATGTTCAGATTCATTGAGAGAGGACCTTTACATGTACATGTACATTCATAGGTGAGCACATACACACACACACACACACACACACACACACACACACACACACACACACACACACACCAGTGGTGACAGAGAGGGTTCTGGAAAAATAGTTTGCAGAATAAGAAGATGCCATTTTGCAGTTGATAGCTCCATTAACTTGCAACTATGTATCCAAGTTCACAAGGATAAGCTGCTGTCACAAGAATAAAGATCTGTGCAACTAAGACCACCTCTTTAGGGGTTGCTGGTGGGCAGGAGGCTCATGTAGGGAGTTGTGGGGAGATGTGTCAGATAGGCAGGCAATGGTCTGATCATAAATTGCAGGGTGGTTACAAATTTCAGGGGAAGGGCCTATTTTTCTGATTTGTGGGCTGCTGCTATCTACAAGTTGTGTTCTGGGTTCTGTAAATCTGAAGAAAAGCAACCGATTAAAAGGTCTTATGACTGATGTCCTCCCAAGGACAGTTCATTCTGCTGTGATAGCTTGGAGTACAAAAGTGTCTTTGATTCAGGGGATGGGAAAAGATAGAAAGAGGTTTCCCCCGCCCCTCCCAGAGGACCAGGGAACGCAGAGAAGAGCCACTTGCCTCAGAGGACCGGAGAGATAACCTATGTTGAGGAGCAGTGTCGGACTCATCAGGTGGCCTTAGTCAGAAGTGTCCTTTACAGCAAAGCCGGTGGGAGACTGGAAATACAGTGTCCAGCTGTGTGACTTCCAGAGCCAGTGACTTTTACAAAGCCAACCAAGGGCAAGCGACATTGAGGATTGAATTACAGCTCCAGCACGCTGATGCTGCTGAGGATGAAGATGAGGGTGAGAAGGATGAAGGTTAAGAAGGCTTTGGGAATGAGAAAAGCAATGACAGCATAATTCTCCACATTAACGCTGTCCTGATCAATTCTCACCTTTCAATGTAAAACACAACATACACTTCCTTGTTCACCATGTTACTAGGCTAGCCCAAGTCACAGGATCCCTCGCTTCTTCTAGTATGTCTTCCCAACTCCTCTTAATTGTTTTTTGTGTTGTATGTGTACATGTATGTGTGTGTGCACATTCTTCTACATGCCATGGAAACGGTGGGGGGGGCGCAGGGATTTCAGGTATACACTGCTTTGTTGTTTTTAGGCTGGGTTCTCTCTAAATCTGGAGTGAGGCTGGCGATCAGCAAGCCCTGGAGATTCACAAGCCCTGGCGATCGACAAGCCCTGGCGATGGGCAAGCCCTGGAGATGGGCAAGCCCTGGCAATGGGCAAGCCCTGGCGATCCTTCCACCTTTGACCTTCCCACCCTAAGCTGGGGTTACAAGTGCATGTGACTGCGTCTGGTTTTAATGTGCATTCTGGGGATTTGAACTCAGATCCTCAAGCTTGTACAGCACGGCTCTCGCCTGCTGACCCACCTCTCCTGCTCCCTCACCTCCTCAGCTGTTCCTCCTTCTTGCCATTCAGCGCTATACACTAATAGCACAGAGACTGAGGGTTTGGGGCCCCCCACCATGTAAGTTAGAACATTTCAGGTTCCTGCTTTAAACTGTCCAGGGATTTAAACTTTCCATCCTGGGTGCTCTGAAACCCCAAGTCCCCCTCATGAACCTGCAGAGCTGTACACCATTGCCCTCCACCCCCATCTCCCTCTTCTGTGCCTCTTTCTCTCACCGATTCTTTATATATATATATATATATATATATATAATTTTACAATACCATTCAGTTCTACATATCAGCCATGGGTTCCCCTATTCTTCCCCCTCCCACCCCCTCCCCTTATCCCCACCCACCCCCCATTCCCACCTCCTCCAGGACAAGTCCTCCCCCGAGGACTGCGATCAACCTGGTAGATTCAGTCCAGGCAGGTCTAGTCCCTTCCTCCCAGACTGAGCCAAGTGTCCCTGCATAAGCTCCAGGTTTCAAACAGCCAACTCATGCAATGAGCACAGGACTTGGTCCCACTGCCTAGTTGCCTCCCAAACTGATCAAGCCAATCAACTGTCTCACCTATTCAGAGGGCCTGATCCAGCTGGGGGCCCCTCAGCCTTTGGTTCATAGTTCATGTGTTTCCATTCATTTGGCTATTTTTTTCAATAATTGAGTAAAACTGAAATTTATTATAAGCCACAGTCGTCCTAGGGACCTCCATGCTATCTATATATATAGCCTCTATGGTTCTATGGGTTGTGGTCTGATTGTTCTTTATTTTATATCTAGAATCCACCTATGAGTGAGTATATACCATGACTGTCTTTCTGGGCTTGGGTTACCTCACTCAGGATGATTTTTTCTAGTTCCATTCATTTGCCTGCAAATTTCATGCTTTCATTGTTTTTCTCTGTTAAGTAGTACTCCATTGTGTATATGTACCACATTTTTTTCATCCATTCTTCTGTTGATGGGCATCTAGGTTGTTTCCAGGTTCTGGCTATTACAAATAGTGCTGCTATGAACATAGCTGAGCATGTATCTTTATGGTATGAATCAGCATTCCTTGGGTATATGCCCAAGAGTGGGATGGCTGGGTCTTGAGGTAGTTCGATTCCTAATTTTCTGAGAAACTGCCATACTGATTTCCACAGTGGTTGTATAAGTTTACATTCCCACCAACAGTGGAGGAGTGTTCCCTTTGCTCCACATCCTCTCCAACATTGGTTGTCATTGGTGTTTTTGATCGTAGCCATTCTAACAGGTGTAAGGTGGTATCTCAGAGTCGTTTTGATTTGCATTTCTCTGATGATGAAGGATGTTGAGCATTTCTTTAAATGTCTTTCAGCCATTTGTAGTTCTTGTTTTGTGAATTCTCTTTTTAGCTCTTTAGCCCATTTTTTTAATTGGACTGTTCAGTACTTTGATGTCTAGTTTTTTGAGTTCTTTATATATTGTGGAGATCAATCCTCTGTCAGATGTGGGGTTTCTCACCGATTCTTTCAGCGTCTCTGGAATGTACCCAAACTGACACACTTCTATAGCATGATAGGCTGGTGTCTCGTCCATGTCTCAGGATCAATGTCACTTCCTCAGAGACCGAGACCTCCCTATGGTTACTCACCCCCACCACCATCCCTTGGGATGTTCTAAGCACACTTTAATGATCCTGGGCTTGACCATAGCCTGTTCACTTTTGGACGTTAGCATGACGAAGTTCTTTAAGAATGTATCGCAGCAGTACCAAGGGTTTGACCCCTCAGCCATGAGGGCAGCCTGAGGGCGGCTGAGAGCTGCAGCCCCCAAGGCAGGCTAGGTCTGGCTCTTAGAACCTGCTTCCTTCACTGCCATATGCTGCACACACATGAGTATTTTCTCCGGTGTCTTGCATGAGAAGGACTGGGAAGTCTAGGTTGTGTTTGGGCTGCTTATGCCTTCCTTCTCAACCTGGGCCCTTGTTTCAGACTCACTGGTGTTGCAAGTCTTTCTTGAAGGAATGGAAGGTTTATGCTGGCTAAGAACATGGTAGGGTTGTTAAGAATGCTGATGATGGTAAAGAGAATGGTAATGAGGTTTGTCTGCCTCCGGTAATGGCGGTGATGAAGCTTATTGTTGGTGATGGTGGGGTGAGGGTGGGGATGGTTGTTGGTGATGGTGGTGGGGTGAGGGTGGGGGTGGTTGTTGGTGATGGTGGGGTGAGGGTGGGGATGGTTGTTGGTGATGGTGGGG